AAAAATGTGACTTTAAATGTTCCAGGTGAGCAAGAATAAAATAATCTGAAAGAACCTTATTATCAATATTACACACTATTTTAATGCTCTCAAAAATTTCACGTCTTCCCCTTTTCATTACCACTGATCTATAATAGGTTTCAGTGGCTTCATTTTATTCTGGCACTCAAAAATATGAGGTACCATATCTTTTTTCAGATGAAAGATTCACCCAACCATTTTAAACCTCATCCAATTATCGACGTCGTTCTCCAAATGTAAAATTAAAAATATGCTACTGAGACGTTTCCTATACACATAGTTTGTTCTTTTTTTTTAAGGGGGCGAAATCAATGATCGAATGATTGCCCCCGCCTGGGTGTGGCGGGAGGGAGTGTCAGACTCTAACTGACTAAAAACCACCCCGTTCCTACTCCTGCACTTCGACCCGGAGCCCCAGTAACTCGTTAGGTTCTCCGCGACTTACTAAGGAACATTAGTGTGAGAATAAAGGAATGAATGTTGTAAATAATGAAATAAACCAATTAATATTTGAAGCCTTCGTTTTATTGTTCAATTTGTTTCGTTTGTTTTAAAAAAATATATATTAAGCTCCGGTTTCAAGATGTATTCTTCTTTTAAATTAGTGTACTTGTGTAACAATTTATTTAAAAAAAAATACAATCTTTGCTAATTCCTCCATACAAATTAAGGTTTCTTTGTATCAACCGCATAGGATTTTTAAGGCACATCATTTGTTCAATATTCTCTTCATCATTGCTATAAACTATTGCAGTTTCGCCCTATGAGTTTCGCAGCGGAGGTGTGCTACAGGCATCAGTGTCCGTATCCCTTGATGAAGACGTAGCACTACCTATTTCCAGTAAGCCTAAGCACAACTAGGTAGGTAATTGTTAAATAGTAAAGAAATGTAATTGTGCTATATGAATTAATATACATTTTAAGAGTGATGAAAGTTATTACACATTACGTACCTTCGTCAAACTCAATAGCTTCTTGTTCCTGTACAATATTGTAATCTTTTTGCACAGCCTCCAGACCTGACTGACTTTGAACATGACTTTCTTCGTCTAATCGTATGACAAGCTCTATTCTTTTTCTTTTATTAAATACTGCACTTTGATAATCAGGGTCGCTGAACCAATGCTTACAATCCTCTTGACAATGAAATTTACTTGGCACCGCCGTATCAGTCAAAAGTATCTTTGAACTGAAGCCCATTTTATACTTCATATAATTCATTGTATCTTTTTCCATCTGAATTGTAATAATAAAAAAACATTTTCTACAATATAATTTCAATATAATTTAAACAATTTATTCTTATTATTGTTATACTTATTTACTTATTCGTATTATATTACTGTTCAAATAAAATATTTCTGAAATACTAACATCAAAGTGATCTTCACACATAAAGGCATTAGTATGAGACAAAATGCTGTTTGTGTCTCTTCGACATAACTGCAACCACTTCTTACGTCTGTTAGGATTTGTTGGAACAGAAACAAACAGTTTGTGGGGAGTTTTTACAGATGTATTTTTACATAGTGGCACTATACACCATTTATACGCCATTTTTCAAAGTAAATTAAAAGAATTTATATTTTAAACACACTGAACGTAAGTTTTGGCACACTGTTAACCTCAGTTTACCTGCGTGTGACGTCACGCAGATCATATGGCATCCGCCATTACAGAAACAGCGTTTTTAGCGCGAAAATAGTCATTTAAATTTTAATACGATATTTTACAATAAAATAGTAAAAACGATGAAATATAAATCATATCGTCATGATCGTCACGTCATGAATGACTACAAAAAATAATTTGAGTTTTTCAAAATTAGTCAAATAGCCGATTAACAAAAAATTATGGAGAAAGACGAAAAAAAATAGAACATTACGACAGTCAACAAACGCAAGCATGGGAACTATAGGTCCGTTTTAATATGAAAATTATAACAGTTCGTTTAAAACCGCATTGTTTACGAAAAATTATAGTCTTGTTTTTAGGCTACTTTACACGGAATTCTTAAAACGAACGTAAAATTAAAATACTTATTAAAAAAAATGTACTGGTTCAAATCAACTTCAACATTGAATTCCAATTTATAAATCGCTTTTATTTAAAACATAACAAAAAGACTCGCAAAACAAAGTCGATGACAGTCAGCACAGCTGATGGATGACATTCAACATACTTTTTTTAATAAATTTTCTCATGGCCGTAGATACAAGTCTTTCAGTCGCATACAAATTTAACTTCAAATACTTTCATCGAGTATTTCCATAGTTAAGAATATTGTTAGTTCCCTCTGACATCATTTTCATGATTAATTATGACAGATAGCAAAAGAAACAAGACATGATATAAATGTTATGTTTATATATTTACTAGCTTTTGCCCGCGACTTCGTTCGCGTGGAATAGTGACTTCCGGCAGATTTTTGGTTTTACTCACATAGTTCCGAATCTTTTCAAAAATTAAATGTGGAAGATATTCTAGGGAACTCTTCAAAAATCAACATAATGAGCTCTACGTTTGAATTGAAGATATGTATACTCGCTTAGGGCATTAACTCGTCGAGTACCGGTTTTGCAGACACAATTATAGAACAATAGGTTGCGGTCACCGGTGACCGCTTGGTGTTTGACAGTTTAAAGCCGATCGAAAAAGGCGAAAATGTTGTTATTCCCTTATTTTCAAAATAATATTTTGATTTGTCATTTCAGAAAAAAAGACTGTCTCCCTTGACAAATTACCTATTCCCTTAATAACCAAGCTTAAAACTATATAATTTAAAAGGAACGATCTAATTAATTTAAAAATTAAAATGAATTTAGACATACAATTTTAGTATCTACTAATAATCGAGATCAAACTATCAATCAATCGAGATCAATCCTCAATTCCACGACAGTACCGAAGCACTCGGCCGATACCCAACCAAATGCGTGTAATGAAACCATAGCGCGATCAATTTCAATCCCAACGCCATCTATCGAGCATAGTGACAACTCGGATTATTTATGTATACTCGGGCATTTTCTTTGTAGTAAAAGTTTTATTATATTGATATTATTTTTTTCATACCTTTTAACTATTTATTTACTTTTTTCCGATGAATTAAAACAATAACATGAACCGAACTCGTGTAACTATCGACACCATTGTGCGATCACCAACTCGACATAATAGAATTATCTATGCTCCGTTAGAGCATTAAAATTTTCTTTGTACTAAAAGTTGTATTATGTTATATTTTTCATACCTTTTTACTATTTATATACTTACATTTTCCCGTTGAATTTTCAATACTGAATTGATGCCGACTCTATACCAATAGATGGCGCTGTATGTACGCAATATTTTTTTTTTAATTTTTTTTTGTAATAAAAACTACCCTATGTCCTTTCTCAAGTTCCAAACTATGTCTGTACCAAATTTCACACAAATCGGTTCAGTAGTTTAGGCGTGAAGCAAAGACAGACAGACAGACAGACAGACAGACAGAGTTACTTTCGCATTTAAAATATTAGTTTGGATAGTTTGGATTTATATGTATAAGATAAAGTTGTGAATGTTTGTGTCGTTAATATTCATTACAGATGTGCTTTTATAAATCCTTTACTTTTAAATTTAGTATGTGAACACAGCGATTTTTTTTTAAATTACATAGGTAGTATAAAAATATAGTTACCTTCTGTGTAAGATAACACTTCATTATTCTTTGCTTCTGTATAATCCTGATAAAAATCCTCAGGTAAGGCTACTCTTTGCCTTTTAGCTTCAGTAGAATGTGATTCATTTAAAATCTTATGTTTTCTATTCCAAACAAATCTGGAGGGTATGCAATTTGGTTTCATTTTAATCCTTTTAACTGAACCCATTATTTTATACCTAATATAGTTTTCCATGTCATTTTCCAACTGAACCATAAGACAGATAAAATACGATTAGCAACATTACTTCATAGATGTTATAACCTCTAAATATTATCTACATCATATCCCAAAGTAATAATTCTTGAAGTAGGTAACCTATCATTAAAGATAATTTATTAGATAGGTAATGATAATACAGTTACTTACATCAAAGTGATCTTCACAAAAGTATAAACGAGATTTATCTGATAATAGTTCGGGATCTCGTCTCGCAACTTTTAACCAAGTGTTTCTTATATTTATATCCACTGGTACTTGAATCCACAATTTGTCTGGTGTTTTTACACTAGTGTTCTTGCATTCAGAGGCAACACACCAACGATAGCAAGCATAATAACTCATTATTAAAATTTTAAATAAAACACTAAAAATATGTACGAATTGTGCATTACTGTCAGCTGTAGAACAGAATGAATACTGACGTAATGACGTCATGACTACAAAACGATCATGGCGTCCGCTGTTTGCCGCGTTTTCGCGAAATACGCGCGAAATTTGAAATTATGATAAAATAATTTATTTGTATTCGTACATAACGCGAGAATATTAGTGCTTGTATGAGTTGTTGAATGATTCTCACACAACTTGGAGTCTAGGTGGAAATAAGTCGCTTGATAATCCGGCTCGAAGGACCATAAAGATGTATGAGTTGTTGAATGATTCTCACACAACTTGGAGTCTAGGTGGAAATAAGTCGCTTGATAGTCCGGTGAGATGATATTTATTGATACACTAAACTAACACGTCGACTATATTATCAACTAAACTAATGATTGATGAGTACTGATGTATTTGAGTGCTGAACATGTACTGAATACAAATTTATTGCTATAACTATAATGAAATTAATAAATCTGCTGACATGAAGCGCGCGTGCGTGTGATGTACAGTCGCTGACTCGTACAGTGCTGTAGAATTTATTTTGGATACACTTTAAAAAATGCATGTAGAGCCTAATCACGAGCGCAAAAGACTGGACAGCTGTCAATGGGCGTAATTAATCGACTAATCGTAATACATGATACTTTCGTTGTCGAGCTACGGTAGTTGTAGGTACTCTTCAATTTGATAACATTATCTGATGCTTCGTTCTTAGACAAAGTTTTGAGTTCCTGGCATTTTAGGCTCTTTATTAGGTTTATTGTAATAAATGTTACATTATTTTATAAATGTAACTAAAAAATGTGCTCAAGCAGTTAAGTGTGCATTACCCAGGCCAGATGTTGTTTTGGCCAGAAGTTTCATTAGTATCCTGTAAGTATTGAAAAAGTTATGATATTGAGTTAAAGAGAAAATATAATTTAAATATTCCCATTAGAAAGAAAAAGGTCTGGCTGGGGTAACGTTACCAGAGCAGGAAATATTTTTCTGAAAAAATTAAAAAACTATAAGCACAACAAATAATGTCCACGGAGAGTAGTTCAAGAATAAATGAAAACGAACAGAGACAATTATATTTTTAAAGAAAAAACTGTCGTAAAAATGGGAACATTTTAATTTCGTTACTAAGTATATATTGAATCATGGAATTACATTTATTTGGTTACAGGTGGCCTATTTTTTTTGAGGAGAAAGATCAGGGAAGGTGTTGGAATTCTAATTTCTTACCTCACAATAACCACACCAGTGTCCACCATATTATTATAAAGATATAATTATGTACATAATATTCTCATTTCTATTAACAGCCTGTGCTTCATTTATAATACTAATGATAACGCCATAATATTTGTTTATACCTGAACTTCCAGCAGTCGAAGGTCTAGGTAAGAAAGATGTACATTTTTTATTGAGTTGACAGTTAAATCTAGTAGGTAGCGAGTCTGGTTTCATCTTTATTTTAGCCACGGAACCCATTATCTGATATTGCATATAATTTTCCATATCATTTGGCAACTGTAATTAAATAACATAATACAATAAAATAAAAAATAAAAATGTTTATTGTATATGGTCCTGGACCTCACACTAGGATTCGCTGTGTCGTGAGGCCCAGTCTCTTTCAGCCAGCAAAACAAAAAAAACACGGAACAAGAAAAACAAATCAATGAAAATAAAATAAATTAACTATGTTCTAAATGTATAACCTCCTTCTAAATGTCGAAGTAGTTATATGAACGATCTATTGTCTAAGATTAATAATTTTGCGTGTCAATTATATTAATATAAAACTCACATCGAAATGATCTTCACAATAATAAACGCTAGTTGCCTCTAGCAGTCTGTCTATATCTTTATCTATCCTCGCAAGTCGAAACCATTCCTTACGCCGTTCTATTTGCGTAGGCACGTAAACAAATATTTTTTTTGGAGTTTTGTTACTTGTGCTATAACACAGTGGCACTGCACATCGCTTATACACCTTCGAATTATTCATTTTTGTTAAATAATCAACAAATTTGTTTCGGCAAAACAATGTAACGTAATGGTCACGTCACGTTGAAACGTCAATGTCAAAAGTATTGTGAGGGCGTTGCGTCATACGCGTTACATGACAGTTGATAATGGAAATTTTGTTTTTTTTTTATTTATTATTTTTAAATAACATTATGTGTAATAAGATCTATATAAAAAAAATAACATGCATGTATTTTTGATCTGGTTTGGTTTCTGTCATTCCATGATCCCGTTACAAAATATCTGTATTATAAACAAATGGTTTAATAGGTACCTGAAATTCCAGACGATGTACTTCCAAGTTCGTGTGTATTGAATATTAAATGTAAAGAGCTTTCTTTTTTTATAGCTTCTTCTTTTATTATCTGCCTTTCTTTCTTAATAATAAATGTTTGTTCAGTATCAGCTGGTAGTTTTGTTCTATCTGGTTGACATTCAAATTTCGTTGGCACACAGCCTGGTTTCATGCGAACTTTTGATACGAAACCCATTACATGATACTCCATGTAATTATCCATATCATTTGGTAACTAAAATAGAAAAACTCTATGCAAAATGGTAAATGTTTATTGAAATAAAACTAACAATGGATAGAATCTAACCTCCAAGATGAAGCTATTATTCTAAATTTATTATTGTATATAGGTACTTACTATTTAAGAATGAGTGTACCGTATACATAGTAAAACAAATAAATACTTACATCAAAATGATCCTCACAAAAATAAACGGGGGAATTAAAACAAAACGCATTTGCATTGCGCCGTGCAAGATTAAACCACAGACTTCTCATTTTCTTGTTGTGTGGCACATAAACAAACAGTTTGTTAGGGGTTGATTTAGATGTGTTAGAGCACTGAGGGACAACACACCATTTATATACTTTCGAATTCATTTCTAAATGAAATAATAACTGTTTATTGATTTGTTATTCCAACTCCGCTGTTTACGATGAACTGTCATTGAAATGACGTCAACCCGACGCCATGACACCATTTGCCCTTTGAATAGATAATGTATGGAGTTCACAAAAAGCGTAACAAAAGTTTCTCGTACCAATCGTGTCACCTAGGCTACAAAATAAATTTGTAAAAAAGGTGAGAGACACAATGGCGGGTGTATGATAATAATTGATTACAAAGTAGATTATGCCAGGTACCAAAAAAATTTACTATTTAGTACAATTAGTTTTTAAAAAAATTTACTTCATAAGGATCGAAATTTTTACGATTTTACAGGTATACCCGCCATCCTAACGTCGACTTTTTATCTAATATAATTATACCAAAAATTTGTACGTCAAGTACCTACTAAAAATATCATTATTGACGCCTAATACCTAATTCTGACTAACCAAAATAAAACGATTCGTTTTGATTTTCGACAGTTATTGTAAAATAATTGAATCGATTTAGTTATATATTCCTTGATGGAAAGGGTACAATAATATTTTATAAATTGGCTTTATAGAAATAATGGTAAATAGGTATCGTAAAATGAATATTTAATTATTGTTTTCATACGGCAAATAAATTATTACAAATATTTTTGGGAGATATAAATTTGATGAGAGAATTTTTTTCATAGCCGGTATCATATTTGCACCGTGTAAACAGCACGTACACATGCAAGGAATCTTGCAACGTCATTTTTGTTGCTATTGTAAGGTGACGCTCTATCTAGACATATTTATGGTCTAAGGTTAACAGTTATAAATCAATACAGGCTACTGTATTTATGCTCACTAGATGGCGCTAGTGAACATATCGTTTTTCGTGCAATGTGGAATTAGCTAGTGTCACACCATTTATGGTCTAAGGTTTATAAATTAATACAGGCTACTGTATTTATGCTCACTAGATGGCGCTAGTGAACATATCGTTTTTCGTCCAATGTGGAATTAGCTAGAGTCACACCATTTGCTGTTCAATATTTAAGAGCTGCACTGCAGTGATGAGACAAAAATACCTCTTGCGCCATCTGGTGACCAATAATACGATAGTCCACATTGTAATAACATACCCTCTATTACGATCCCATCGTTGTTATATTGATTACTGGCTGGTAGTATTTGAGTTTCTTTATGGCATTCTTCGATTAGATCTGCCTTTGGACTTTTGGCAAAAGCAGGTCTCAAAGTACTAGCTTCGCATAATCGGTTACTATGGTCTTGCTGAGCGTCGGGGATCGCGGGACGATCTCCGGCCACCGTAAGCGCGGGCCTGCGGACGGCGAGCATGGGTGGCTCCCCGTCCGACCAGAAACAGACCCGAGCGTACGGCGCGTCGCGTTCCGCGCGCGCCTCAAAGAGCCATCAGACCACCACAGATGGGGCCCAATAGGGCCGATGCCGATTCGGAGTCGCGGAGAACCTAACGGGTAACCGGGGCTCCGGCTCGACGTGCAGGAGAAGGAACGGGGTGGTTTTTAGTCAGTAAGAGTCTGACACTCCCTCCCGCCTCACCCAGGCTGGAGCAGTCATTCGATGATTTTCCCCCCTTAAAAAAAAAAAAAAAAAAAAAAAAAAAAAAAATGGTCTTGCTGACAGTGGATACTCGATGATACAGTTTCTGTTGCAGGGTGTAACTTTTGACCAAGGCCCATTTTGATTTGAGTGTAGTTACTTTTACCTTTCTTCTTCTGTAACATATATTGTGTTCATAAAAATGATTAAAACACTATTACTGGGTTATGAAAACAATCTCAATGGTAGCACAGAGTCTGGAATTGTGCCCAGTTTATGGCAGTAGGCTCACCCCCTATTACATGGGACTCGTAATAGTGAAGAATGGGTGTTACATGGTACAGTGGCATTCAGTGCCGTAATGTGCACCTCTGTCTACCCCCATCGGAGATAAAAGGCGTGATGTTATATTAGTATGTATAAGTAAACACTTTGTACAATAATTCGGTATGTAAAATAAAAATGAACCTAAGCCAATCCGAAGACTATTTCGAGATTCCCAAGTCGTAATATATTGAATTTAGATCAAATAACATACATAATCAGTTGATTTTCACTTGACCTGTAAATAATGTCACGTGATAGGCTGAATTGACTATTGTCTGTATCTGACACAGTAAACTATAAAATACTTTTGTAAAAATATAAAGCACGGAGGTAATAATACAACAGGAATGTGCACTTCGCCGAATTAACAAGCCGATAGAGATAGTTAGCACGGAGTCGATGCATCTCGCTCTAGTAGAGTGATCATAATGTTTGCTATTTAGTTACGTATTGTCAATAGGGATGATGACATTGTATGAAAATTATAAAATTAAAATTAGACTACAGGGTGACTTTTAACTCGACGTATTCCTCTTGGGAGGTGATAATACAAGTAATTTCCTACAAAATTGCAAGCCCTGAGGTCTCTGGTCTGGCTGAAGATATAAGACGCTCATTCAGTTCAAAAGTGACCACCAAAGAGATAAGAAACGAAAGACTTCTGTGTAGAAGCTCTTCTACATAAAAATATATTGTGATGCAAAAACTTGTTTCTCCATCGACAATATTGGCGACGAATGCTGTTAGCGAAATCAAGAGTAGATAGACGATGTGGTTTAACAAGAGACCCTCGCTGATTTCCAATATGTTTAGCAACATGATGATGTCATGTCAAGTCGCGTGCAAAGTGTTAACTAGTGGATACGGGGTTTTTAAATGCGCCTTGGGTGCACTAGAATCAATTTAAACATTACCAAATAAATTGTTCGAAACGGACTTTCGTTGAAATATATTTTTTTGTGTCGAATTTTAGGAATAATGTAGACAGTGGTATACCAATTTAGAATCCTTATTAAATGCACCAACTTTGGTGAAATTTGCCACTTGCAGTTCAATACAATTTTTTTTCAGTGCAGTCTCTTAAAGTACGGTGTAAATATTAAGAACACTTGATTCGTCAAAACACGAAATTCTATTCCAAACTAATGCAGTTGGCTTAGAATTTATAAATGCATAATACCTACTGGAGCTCTATTCAGTATAACTTAAGCAAAAATACAGATGATAAAATAAAGAATTATAGCAGCAAAGAGTCAAACGACTGACACAGGATGTAATTATTCATGGGTAACACAAGTCATTGTAACTTAGAAACTATATGACTTAGAATTTATTTATATTTTTCTGATAACTTTTAGAACCTTGGCGATCACCTGGTGCCATTTGATTTCAGGGACACCGGTTGCATGCAAGCATGTTTTTAAGATGATTTTCAGCTAGCCTTGACAAGTCTGCCAAACTTAAATCTTACAACTTGAAATGGATTAAAATTGTGTTGAAGGGAGTTCGTTACAAACATACAGATGAACTACCTGGTGAAACTAATAAAAATGTGTTATAATTATGATAAAATTCAGTTATTAAGGGTTTTAAGTGTGTAGCTAATATTCTTACCGCGGGAGGTATCGTTGGTATAGCATCAGTTTTTAATAATAGACGAGAATTAGCAGAATAAAAGCAGGAAGGTTCGAAATGACGACTGCATACCACAGAGTTTTTTGTAATTTTTTGCTTCACGTGTATACTGCTGAGCCATTTTTGTTGCATTTCTTCATTTTTTGGGAAACTGTAATAATAATAGTATAACAGTCAGGAGGCTGGCGTTAGGTGAATGGATCAAGGGTCTGATAAAGAGGGCAGTTCTCCTTGAAACGGCACGTATCGTGAGGAGGTTTTTGTCCCTAGAACCCTAATCACCGGTGTCTTGGACCATGCTCCTGCTACTGCTCTCGTTTAAATATTATTTTTTTATTTTGGTATTTAAAAATGTAATTTATAGAGAATTTAAAATAAATATATAGTACAACAATCAGGACCTTATATACCACGATTGACACAACAAGAAATCATTGTTAGATAAACAGTTAGGATATTTTCAGCTTACCTGTGAAACGATATATTGCAACCACCATATGATTCACTAGGACAAGTATAAACGCAACACTTTTTCACCATTTCAACTGATTATATATCTTAGAATTATTATAACAACGAAGATCTGATTACAAACATGAACGTAAACAATGCTAATGTCAATGAGACGCGATGACATGACAATGACAGTTTACACTTACAGGGTTACCATGAAATAGAGAATAGTCAAAATAATAATTTACGTTTTATTGATTAATTTAAGAATACATTCTAAGAAATAAATGCGAAATAAATTAGTTAATTAATGATTATTACAATGTCATTAACATGTTAGTGTTTTCATCGAGTTTTTATTTTACTAACAATGTTTGATCAGAAAGATTTTTAAGCTGGCAAGATGAGAGAACGAGACAAACGGCCTCCGTTATTGTTATCCTTGTCGGCTTGGATTACCTGTGTTAATTAAGTGCAACGGAATATAATATCTTAATTAAAATAGGGTTTATTTTTGGAAATGTAATTTTGCGGAGTTATCGGTCCTGCACCTTTAGCCAAAAGCCATTTAGCTATAGCATTAGGCGATCTGATTGGTTGGTTCATTGGAGCCGGCCAATCGCCTGTTCGTTTCGATTGCTTTTAACGTAAAAAAAAACCCGTACTAACGCCTCTGATCTACGTAAGACGAAATTTTCGATTAAATTTAAACAACCAAGTAAATTTTCAAGGCTTTTTAGTTAAACAGTAACTTTTAATTTAGTACATAGGTAATTACAGAAATAATTATATTATAAACTTGATGCATAAACATATCTCGATAAAGATTATTATAGTCACCCTAGTTCTTAAAGATGTCACACTTACCTGTGAAAAGATAATCCACAGCCTGATTCCTTCTTACACTCACTCACAGAACATACATTGTTAACCATTTTTGAAATCCAATAGGTACACGATAAAAGCACTTTTTGAACTCAAAAACGTTTAAAAGTCGACACGGGTTTGCATTTATGACAACAAACAAAACGCCATATTGTTATTGTTTTGGTATAGCCGGAGGCTACCATTTTACCTACTGTTAACTTAAGTAGAAGTAATAAAAATTTACAAAATCGTGAAATATTAAGACTATGATCTAACTGATTCTAACCGTAGGGTTATACGTAATCCTTAATAATATTATAAATAGGAAAGTGAGTTTGTTTGTTTGTTCTGCTTTCACGCTGTAACTACTAAACAGATTGCTTTGAATTTTTGCAGACGCAAAGTTAGAAGTTTGGATTGAATAATAGGGTACTTTTTATCCCGGAAGAATTTGTAATTCCCGAGGGAAGACAAAATTATTGGTATAAATGGCGCTGTGTGTATTGGTATATGTCACATAGGCTACTTTTTATCCTTTTGTGACGCGAGCGAAGCCGCGGGTAAAAGCTAGTGATATATAAATAATATATCAAGTACACTAACAATAATTACAATAGCTTGTAGACTTCTTATCTATCAGTGGGTGTGTAAGTTATAAGTATGTATGAAAAATAATAGCTATTTTTAGCATTTTAGTTTTTGAAGTTGTTTTTTACAGTTTTTTATTTTGTTCTCTTAGCTATCATACTACTACATCATTGGACATTAAGTGACAATCACACCACACCTAGGTGTAAAGTCCTCATCAATACAAATTAATCAAACCCTAACACAAGATAGCTGCTGGTAACCGCTGAGGAGTTCCCTCAACTGTGGTACTACTTCATCATCAGACCCTTATTGACAACCACACTACACCTAGGTGTTTAGTCCTCATCAATACAAATTAATCAAGCCCAAACACAAGGTAGTTAATGTAAACCGTTGAGGAGTTCTCTCGACTGTCTGTGGGCTCCATTATCAAGTCGACTCCAGACCCTTATCAAATTGTAGTGTTTAAAAATTCATATTTAAGCAAACATAATATATGCATTCTTCGTCCCTACAATTTTCAAAACTTCCCATCGGTTACCCTAGGATATCATGATCAGATCCTGACCTCATGGAAATGGGACCATCTCGGGACTATACCCTTTCAAACAATGCAAGAATTTTAGAAATCAGTTCACAAATGGCGGAGTAATCAATGAACAAAAATAAACAATCAGCCAAACACTACCTTCTCTTTTTTTTGAAGTCTGTAAAAATGTATAGTAGGTATTTTGCGAAGAATTATTCTTTTTAAATCTACTGCCATTGTACCAATTTTTGATATGGCAACTGTGCGAAAGGGACACACCAAGCTAAATAAGGTCCTCATGTAGTTTCATTTTTCTGGGAAGATAGTGGTTATTTAAAAATCACTCTATACTAAAACAATTTAGGTTCATTATGACATATCAATAAAGTAATAGTGAACCTTCCAGTTGTACATAGTACTTTTACTTCCATGGTGTCACATCATTTGGCACTTACATCTTTTTAGAATACAAAGTACATCATTTCGAATAATGTAAAAATATGGTGAACTATGTCAGCCTAGTAATTATTTATTTATTTATTACTAGTGACCCGCCCCGGCTTCGCACGGGTGCAATATGCATGTATTATACATACAAACCTTCCTTAAGAATCACTCTATCTATTAAAAAAAACCGCATCAAAATCCGTTGCGTAGTTTTAAAGAATTAAGCATACATACGGACATACAGCGAAAGCAACTTTGTTTTATACTATGTATTGATTTATCTACACACATACAATACAAAGGACAATACATAGGTATATAAAAACAGAGTACATAGGCCCCACACATTCCAACTGGAATTTCTTCCTGTGGGCCTGTATGTGTTACATGACATAATATTTTTAGTTTATTACATACCTGCTGAACTAGTTTGAAGAGGTTGTTGTGCTAGGGAAGTACTTGGTGTAAAACTTTCTTGAAAACACTCTGCTTTTGTAGACATTCTTTGTTTTTTTATCATGTATGGCCGCTCTGCACTGTTGCAGGATTCTTTTTTTATGTCATCTTGACATCCAAATTTACTTGGTAAACAACCCGGTTTCATTCGCACATAAGATACCTTACCCATTATATGGTACTCGGTATAATTCAGCATATCGTTAGGCAACTGGAAAATTTAAAGACTGTGTTTTAACACAATACACATATGAGACATTCTAACCTCAAACCTAATGTTTTTCTTAAGATTTACGAGTTGAATATGTAGTCACAACTTTTTTTAATAATACTTACATCGAAATGATCTTCACAAAAATACATTCTCGATGTTGTTGATAAACAATGAGCATCATTCCTCTTTGCCAGTTTTAACCACTTTCTTCGCATTTTATCCTTCACCGGAACACGTATGAATAATTTAGTCGGAGTTTTTCTACTTGTATTCATACACTGGGGCACTATACAGTTTTTAAAGTACGAAGTTTCCATTTTTATAAAACAAACTTTCGCCACACAATCAATGAACACAATCGCTTGCAACTATGTGACGTCAACCGTCAAACGTCATTCAATCTTATGTTTGTACGTCAGATTTAATTTTTTTTAAACTTAGAACACCGTGTTTTAAAAAATAATTTTTATCATGAAATATTTTTTTTAGGTAATACAGGTACTAAACCAACACGAAATAAGCCATTTTATAATTCAGTACGACACAGGCCTATTGTAAAAATGGCAAGCTGCAAAACGTGCGCCGTGCCTATGTGTAGAAGCATGACAATTAAAAATTCAAAAAAGGCACTAACACATCCATTTCAATATTTAATAATTTCCCCTTGACTACAGAATGTAGTTTTTTTTAATTATGTACCTATCTTATAGATTTATTATTGCACAGGCAATAATAACATTTTATTGTAACGATATGGAAATCCTCATGGACTTCCCACGTCGTGGGGGCGACGGGGTCATCCAAATATTTTAGTAAGAAGAAAAGCGGGGACAGTAAGAAACGTTTGTTTAAGGGGGGAAAATCATAGAATGCTGCTGCTCCCGCCTGGGTGAGGCGAGAGGGAGTTTCAGACTCTCACTGACTATAAACCACTCCGTTCCTTCTCCTGCACGTCGAGCCGGTGCCCCGGTAAGCCGTTAGGTTCTCCGCGATACCAGAAGAAGGGTAGCAGACCTTTTTCCAGGGAGTTGCAATTAGTAAACTAACGTGTATGAATTTTGCATCGACTTATTATTGGTTTTTGTATGACGTAGAACGTGTAAGACATTTTTGATTTCAACCACCTGAATCACCAACACATTAAGTACACTATGGGTAGACATATTAAAACAAACCCATTTTAAATAATTGAACTGGTAAGTTTTTACGTTTATACCCACCGCTATTGTTTGCCGTGCCCGATGTTGATAGAATTTCTTTGGACAATAATTCTTGTACTATGTCCATATGTTACGTATCGGTGCCGACACATGTACCTACACCGTGATCAACGCCGTGTCACCAGGCCCAGATCTGCTGAATCAGAACATTACACCTACTTTGATGCAACGAAGGTTCTACGGAGTATTGCAACATTCGAACTGCTGAGTCGTCTCCTCTTGTCGTCGCCTTGTGCCCAGCGACGAATCGCTGCATCATCGTTCACCCCACTAGATTTAACCTCAATAAAACCTTCATACTAATTTTATAATAAAGAATTTTAAGATAAGAAAGCAGTGTCGTTCTAATATCGAACGCATTCGCTCGTAGGTTAATTAGACTTTAGGAATCATCATGTAATTTAAATTATAATAAATTTAGTAAAATGATCATAGTTTCCATTTGCACCCTCTGTCGCTGGCAGAAACATAACTGGCGCAGTCGGTAGGATATTCGCGGGCCGGTTCGCGAGCGCGTTAAAATTATCTAATATCGATATTTGTGATCGCGAGCTACCCGGGTCGCTATCAAGCACCGTACGAATATCCAGAATCTACGTGAAGCCACAGCAGAGGATATCCAGACATTGATATGGCAAATGGAATCAAGAAATCAAAAAGTAGAAGATATTAAGGAAAAGAAAAGAACATACATTAATATAATTTAAGTGGAGCAACTACCCCGCTGCACTCCAGCGCGGCATCGGGATGTCCACCTCCTCCAGAGCAAGCAGGAGCAAATGGCAACGGTACATGTGAGCGAGGCCCAAATCATTAGCATAAATGCGCGGTGGCGCGTCCTCTTCGCCCACAATGTATCCGTGCTCAGGCAGTAGACCACCCAAGAAGGCATCCATGGGTTGGAAATCCATAGCGCGCACCCACGCTTCGGCGTCGTAATGGTCTATACCGTCGATGACCAATACGGGCATCATGATCTCCTCCCCATGAGCCTGGCCATAAAGGCGCACTGCCGGACCAGTTTCACAGTCTGACAAAAGCCTATACTCCATATTGAGGAAAAAATTATATAATTAACAAAAAAAAAGCGAAATCTATAGCGCCGGCACTACAGCAATAACTAATGAATGACTAAGTAATGAACAAAGGAATAAAACTTTACCTTGAAGAGGGATCGAATATCTACACCACAGGCAAAAATGTTCGTCATCGAAGTTGCACATAAGCAATTGGTCAGCTAAAATTTATCGCTACTATCGGAAAGGTGTATTTCAATTGATAAAATTTAGTCTGACAGGAACACCCGTTCTCCATCCTATCTGCAAAATCGAGAGAGAAATCGAAGAACTCAAAAGGACAAACCACGGAATAGCGATCAGCACTATTCTCAACGTTAGTCTTCGAATAGTTGCTGTTCTGAGGGTGGAGATGTTACGTATCGGTGCCGACACATGTACCTACACCGTGATCAACGCCGTGCCACGAGGAGCATATCTGCTGAATCAGGACGTTAGACCTACTTTGATGCAACGAAGTATTGCAACACCTAAACTGCTGAGTCGTCACCTCATGTCACCGCCTCGTGCCCAGCTGCGAATCGCTGCATCAGCAATCACCCCACTAAATTTAACCTCAATAGGTTTTATTGAAAACCTTCTTTCGAAATAATTTTAAGAAAAGAAGTCAGTGTTGTTCCAACATCGAACACATTCGCACTTAGGTTAGTTAGATTTTAGGAATTAACATGTAATTTTAATTATAATAAATTTAGTAAAATGATCATAGTTTCCATTTGCACCCTCTGTCGCTGGCAGAAACATAACTGGCGCAGTCGGTAGGATATTCGCGGGCCGGTTCGCGAGCGCGTTAAAATTATCTAATATCGATATTTGTGATCGCGAGCTACCCGGGTCGCTATCAAGCACCGTACGAATATCCAGAATCTACGTGAAGCCACAGCAGAGGATATCCAGACATTGATATGGCAAATGGAATCAAGAAATCAAAAAGTAGAAGATATTAAGGAAAAGAAAAGAACATACATTAATATAATTTAAGTGGAGCAACTACCCCGCTGCACTCCAGCGCGGCATCGGGATGTCCCCCTCCTCCAAGGCAACCAGCAGTAAGTGGTTACGATACATGTGAGCGAGGCCCAAATCATTCGTATAATTACGCGGTGGCCCCTCTTCGTCGCTCACAAATTACCCGTGTTCGAGCAGTAGACCACCCAGGAAGGCATCCACAGGTTGGAAGACCATCGCGCGCACGCATGTTCCGTCGTCGTAATGGACTACACCATCAATGGTCAGTACGGACATCATGATTTCCTCACTATGAGCCTGGCCATAAAGGCGCACTGCCGGACCCGTTTTGCACTTGGACCGAAGTTTATACTCCATGTTGAGGAAAAATTATATAATTACCGAAAAAAAGCGAAATCTATAGCGCCGGCACTACAGCAATAATTAATGGACGACTAATAAGTAATGTACAAAGGAATAAAACTTTACCTTGAAGAGGGATCAAATATATATAATTATACACTACAGGCAAAAATGTTCGTCACCGAAGTTGCACATAAGCAATTGGTCAGCTAAAATTTATCGCTACTATCGGAAAGGTCTATTTCAACTGATAAAATTTAGTCTGACAGGAACACCTGTTCTCCGTCCTATCTGCAAAATCGAGAGAGAAACCGAAGAAGTCAAAGAGACAAACCACGGAATAGCGATCAGCCCTATTCTCGACGTTAGTCTTCGAATAGTTGCTGTTCTGAGGGTGGAGATGTTACGTATCGGTGCCGACACATGTACCTACACCGTGATCAACGCCGTGTCACCAGGCCCAGATCTGCTGAATCAGAACATTACACCTACTTTGATGCAACGAAGGTTCTACGGAGTATTGCAACATTCGAACTGCTGAGTCGTCTCCTCTTGTCGTCGCCTTGTGCCCAGCGACGAATCGCTGCATCATCGTTCACCCCACTAGATTTAACCTCAATAAAACCTTCATACTAATTTTATAATAAAGAATTTTAAGATAAGAAAGCAGTGTCGTTCTAATATCGAACGCATTCGCTCGTAGGTTAATTAGACTTTAGGAATCATCATGTAATTTAAATTATAATAAATTTAGTAAAATGATCATAGTTTCCATTTGCACCCTCTGTCGCTGGCAGAAACATAACTCATACGCTGTCTTTTGCTTACAACTGATCGAGGTTGCGAAGGCCTCGTTCGCTTTATTCTGTCTGGTTGACATTCAAATTTCGATGGCAGGCAGTCAGGTTTCATCCTTATCTTGCCAACAGAACCCATTATACTGTATTCGATGTAATTTTCCATATCATTTGGGAGCTATAAAATGAAACATATAAACGTAACAAAAACTTAGGTTAAGTTAGGTATTATTTATTTTTGTAAAATCACGCTGATTTCTTTTGAATATACCAAGGTACTTACATAAAAGTGGTCTTCACAAAAGAATATCGCAGATTTATCAGATGTAAACTGTGGGTTTCGGCGTGCTAGTTTCAACCACTGCTTTCGACGTTTAGGGCATTTAGGAACGGTTATAAACAATTTTTTTGGATTTTTAATTGTCGTACTTCTACACATAGGTACGGCACACGTTTTGTAGCTTGCCATGTTTACAATTATATGAAATACCTGTGTTAAATCTTGTTTCTACTCAATATGAATACAAGAAAAATTTGGGGAACTATTTGTTTATTGAAATGTGACGTCTTACGATGCTCAATCATGGCCGCGCTCACAGACTACTTAGAGATACTACGTAATAGGTATGGCCGCGCTGGGCGCTAGCGTTTTGCTCATTATCATCATCCACAGATAAAAAAATATCAGATTATTTTCCAAAAATAAAATATTAATAGATTAATTATTTTTAAATGAAAAAGCAACACAATTAAAAGGTTGGTGCCACAAGTTTTAAACAAAATTATTCATTAAAACCGTAATAGATACTTACTTAGCATTACTGAGCTGTTTACAATTTTATTACGGAATATCCCAGCTGTGACCATTAACTAGGTACTTTATATTTAGTTAGGTATAGGTTTGTGGCACCGACTTCCAACCTATCAGTGGGTGTGTAAATTATAAGTAGGACGTATGTATGACTAATAATAGCTATTTTTCCTTTTTAGTTTTTACTTTTCGTTTATCTTTAGTTTTGAAGTCGGTTTTTTAAACACAGTTTTTTTATTTCATTTTATATTTTTTAGTTTAATACTTTGATATATTATAATTTATCCACAAATGGATGCAAAGTTTTCGTCAATATCAAACACCGGTTGGCAACTCTTAACCATAGAGGAGTTCCCTTAGCTATCATACTACTTCATCATTGGACCTTTAATGACCCCCCCCCCCCATCTAGGTGTAAAGT